TTGTGCCAGTGTGGGTTTCGAGGGGCACTCTACACACAACACAACACTTCACTTTGCTAGGCATCTCTCCTCCAACACTTTAGCTGCAGAAGTCAAGGGAGTTGAAGCTTCGGTGTCTGACAATACAAGCCTGAGTCACTGCTCCTCACCACCTCGAAAATACCCTAAACCCGAAACCCAGGGTTTAAACCCTAAACCCTAAACCCTATACCCTAAACCCTAAACCTGTCCTACGTGGCTTAAGCTCCCATGCCAGCTCCTTGAAGCCTTTCGGAAGTCAAGCCTCGGCTGCATTTGCACCCCCAAAACCCCCGGAACACCCCCAACTGAACCCTAAGCCCCCCAAAACCGCAAAATTGCTGGTTCAAGGTCTACTCTATAGGCAGGTGGTAACAGAAACCCTTAAACCCCTCCCTAAACCCTAAACCCTAAACCCCCGTAAGCAGGTGTCTTTTTGGAACAAAGCGGAGCAGCGGCTACTCCTTGCGGCTTTAGCCCCTCGGTTGAGTCAGGGCCCTCGTGGCTTCACAGCTTACATCCTATATAAGAGGGCTTTGGGTTTAGGTTATAGGGTTAGGAGTTTAGGGTCGGAGAAAACCTATAGAACAAAAATATTTGGGTTTAAGGCCTTGAGCCATTCAAAAGGTGGCAGGGCTCAGGAAACCTCAGCTGCCTTTTTTCTTAGTGCGTAGGCACGAGACCAAGAGAGATGCGCCTGGTGAGGTCATGATCGGGCTCACGTCTTACCTGATCGCCAATGATCTCCATTGGGCACAATCCGACGTGAGCTGGCAGCGAGCACTAGGGTTTAGACAGCGACCACGAGGGCTAAAGGTCTGTTTCCGGGTGCGCTCTGACGGAAACTTAACCTTGAGGGCTGTGGCCCACTGTAAAGGGGACCCTACATGTTGACCCACGCGCTGGATCTGGGCGAACCACTGCAAAGCTTGGAATTTGGGGACTCAGGCTTCAGGATAATGATCTCCCAGGTTTTCCGTAGCTTGCTTGGCAGCTGAGAGTGCTGTGTTCAGGTTCCCTCCTTTCTTTCCCCACGTGGCAGAGAACTACTATTTGCTTCAGAACGCCAATAATCATCCCTACTATTTTGCCCTTATAAGGAGTAATCTTTTCTATTTTTTGGGGGGGTTCTGAAGCAAATAGTAGAGAAGGCCGCACAAATGTCCTTGGGATCGATCCTTGAAAAGGTGTCTCAACAGATACTCATCTTCTTGATCTGTGGCATGGCCAGCGCCACTTGGACTTGGGAGGCCCCAACCAACACTTAGGTTTTTGCAGATCCTTTTTGCTAAGGAGAGGAGAGGAGGGTTCTCTCCAGTGATCCTATATAGTGACACCCACGTCCTCACATAGGGGTGCATTAGACAGCAGTCGGAGTTCAAATAGGTCCCTAAATACTCCCCCCCAAGAAAAATCAATCAATCGGCGGATCTGTTTGCCTTTTAGAGGGTCAGGGAATCTCTGTGGGGACCATGGCGCGCGGCCTTGTGTTGGGCATCCACTCCTAAACCCTATAAACCCCAAACAATCATCGGATCCAGCTAACACACTAATCCCGAAACCCTAAACCCTATAAACCCTATAAACCCTATAAACCCTATAAACCCTATAAACCCTATAAACCCTATAAACCCTATAAACCCTATAAACCCTATAAACCCTATAAACCCTATAAACCCTATAAACCCTATAAACCCTATAAACCCCATAAACCCTATAAACCCTATAAACCCTATAAACCCTATAAACCCTATAAACCCTAAACCCTATAAACCCTAAACCTTAAACCCTAAACCCTAAAGCCTAAACCCTATAAACACTAAACCCTAAACCCTATATAAACCCTAACCCTAAACCCTGCCGAAGCGGACTTTGGGGCCCCCGACGAGCTGTTTTCTGTCTGTCAATAGAAAATAGCTCAAGTCTCCGCATGGTTGGTTCTACGACTTGCGCCTTACGCTTCCTCAACCATTCTCAGCACTAGAGCCCTAAACCCCCTTGAGCCCCCTAGACCAAGCCAAAAACCCTTCCCCCCCCCTCCCCCACAAAAAAAAAATGCAAAAAGGCCCCCGAAAGCCCAGGGCACCTGTATGGTGATGATGCTCTTCGTCGCTCGCGCCTTCTACGTGGAGCGATGCAAAGCTTCCGAGGAGGATCTCCTGTGCAACTACTGGCTTGGGTCTTGAGCTTTTAGGGCACTGCAGCACCTTGCATAGGATCTGTAGTAGCATCTTTGGACCCAAGTCAAGTCAGAATGCTATGAAAACGCAGCTGTTGATGTGTCGGACAAAGGGGGGGGGGGTGCAGCAAGCGTCGAAACTCTTGCGACTCCAATCCCAAAGCCCTCACCTTCTCAAACAGGGCCCCTTCGACTCGTTGCACCAAAGCCTTGTAGGGTTGGTCTTTGTGTGATCTGGGGGAGATTGAAGTCTTGCTATATGACAGTCAAACCACAAGTGGCGCTCCCCTTGATACCTCGACGTGGGTAGTTCTAGTGAGGGTCTTCTTTGAGGTCCTTTTATACAAAGTGCCATATTCTAGCGGGGACCCAACAAGGTACTCGTACCAGAATTTGGGGAACCCACATGATCACCAAAGAAAGGGGAAGACACTGCATCCTCAGGAGACGGTGAAAGGGCAGACTGGCAGAGGTCCGGCCTAGGCAGCGGATTCAGGCATTCTTAGAAGCCGTGCGCCCAGGTAGAACAGCACGTGAGGCTCGAAATATACGAGCTACTTGTCACGTTGTTCAAAGACTATCAATCAGAATGCACAACAGCGTTTGATCTTTCTTAAGCCGTCTACCTGCAGTGCTTTTCCTGCGGAAGCCCGAATCCTCGGAAGTGACACGAGTTGTCCAGGCTCGCGTAACTGCAAGACCCGCCCTCACATCAGATTGAGCTGCTAAGCGCTGCCACATGACAGACCAGCACCCAAAGCCCAGTAGTATACTAGGTAGGCCCTTGGGACGTTTTGTATTTTCCCTTATTGGGTTGAAGAGGATCATATTTAGGAATATTTTTCCGAGGGGTTTAGGTTTAAGGGCCATCCTAGTATAAACTTCGGCTTCTGCAGTCACTGCGCTCCATTGAGCTGCCAGCGATCGTGCAGTGAATTGGGGCACGTTCTGGGCAGACATAGAGCACTCTACCATCCCACAAAGAGCGGCGCAAACTCAGTTGAGCTGGGCAAGAAAATGAGCCACGGAGAGTCGAGTTCTCAGGCTGCTTTGCAGGATCTTCATTGCGGCTATAACTCACAGATGAAGTATGCAGAAAAGTTCAGATTTTGGGGATCAGCAGCAAGGGATTTAGAGAAGAGTCGTTCCGTTGTCTTGGCTTAAGTTTGCTTGGGGGCGTTGAAGTTGAGTGCCCTTGCTCCACAAAAAAAGCACGTTGAAGGCCTGCCTGCGTCCAAAGGTCCGAACGAAGTCCCAGGGCACAAGTGCACTCACTTCAAACGCCCCTTCTTTTCAACAGAGGGGTTGTTGCACATCTTTTTTTCATCATGCGCGAGGGTTTAGGGTTTAGGGCCTAGGGTTTAGGGCTTAGGGTTTATAACTCTGGTTCTGAAGGGCAGGTCTATGAGATGACGTCCAGAAATGCCTGTGCATGGTTTGAGTCTCAAGGACGAGGGTGACCTGACAAGTCTGGTTCACTTCAAGTTGCAGTCCACAAGAGATCTGCAATCCTCACGCTTGGACAGTTGAGGATGCAATGGGCAGTCTGAACCTCTGCTGCAGGCCATCAGCGTGATTATTTCGGCCAGCTACGGCGTGCTGAGGCGCATTTCGGTGTTCCATGGTGTGAGGTAGAGTGCCTTGATGTGCCGGTTGGGCTTGGAATCTGGGCGCAGGCGATTTTCGCAGTTGTGAACGAACGGAAACTCGACCTCTCCTTGCAGCACATGCCAGCAGATGGCAGCTGGTTGCTTGCACTTGTTTCATTCCAAAAGCCCGAAAGTTACCCTAAATCCTAAACCCTAAACCCGAAAACCTAAAGTTACACTAATACACCACAGATGATTGCATCAGTTCATCGCTGGCGTGCTCCTTCTTCAGTCCCCGCGGCCAAAATCTGGCAGCTAGAGCTGTATGTACAGCCTCCATAGAAGAGAGATGAAGTGATGAAGTGGATGCGCAGATCGAAAGAAACGGTGAGGTTTGCAAGTATGGCATCGTGTCCATCATCAGCATAGGTTTTGTAAGTTAAACTGCCATGAACATCTGAACTAGGCCGTACAAGGCATCGCAGTGCATACGGTTCCCTGCAAGAGGGACTTGCGACAGCGACTAGCGGGATGGCACGTCTTCACCGGCAGTTGTCCATTTAGGGTTTAGGGTTCAGGTTGATCCATGGTCCATTTCTGAGGACGGTTGGGGGAAAGGCAGTGACAAGGCTTGTGACTGGAGCCCGTAGTCAAGCTTCAGAATGCTTCAGATGGTTTACTTTCAGTTTCCCTAAAACACTGGCTGCTGTACAGCAGATAGCACCTTCCGGAAGCTGTATGCTCTACTCCCTGCTCGGTCTACTGGACTGTTCTCGGCTTGCAGCCATTTTGGCATTCCTTACCTGCCCTGTAAGCCGTGCTGGAAGCCCGGCAACCTGGATTTGGTTCCGGCCTGGGGCCCGTCATGCAGTGGGGTTTAGGGTTTAGGGTTTAGGGTTTAGGGTTCAGTGCAGAGTCATAAACAGCACAGCCAAGGGAATTGTAGCCTTTGATTTCCATTGTGCGTGCTAGCGGAATGTGGCTGTTCCACACCATGCACCATGGTTCTGGGCTTGCTGCCTTCTCCATGCATATGGCAAGGGGCATGTTCTGCTCCTGCATGTGTTGGTCTACCTTGTTATGTACCGGCTCCCAGTTATAGCCCCTTGATGATGTGAGCCTCATGCCCGTCTACCAGGCCTCTTCGTCTCGCTCAGTTTTTGTTCACGGGCTTCAGTTGCCTGCAAATTCGAGAGCTGCACATGGCCCTTGAGGTCTGCCTGCGGAGGCATCGGATGCAGCCACCTTTCTCCGATGTGGTGCCTCAGGCGCGCTGCCACGGCTCGTGTTTTCCCAGCCTTGTTGTGGGGTTGTTAGATCTTGGGTTAGATTCTGGGTCAATGGTGCTCCCACGCCCTCCCCGGTGTCCGGCCGGGGTTGTTGTTGCCAGGTCAGCCTGCCGGGAGTGCCGAGCGGCACGGAACCAGCAAAGGCACAGGAGGCACTTCAGTACAACCAGGGTTTAGGGTTTATAAATAGGGTTTAGGGTTAGGGTTTTAGGATTTCGGGTTTAAGTGTGCACCCCCTTGTTGTATGGTTCGTGTACCACTTTGTTGCTGCCGCCTTCACCCGGAGTGAACACACAGCTTGCCTGCACTTGGGAGGTGGGGCCGCGCCATCCCGTAGCTGGATTGCGTGGCTCCTCGTTGAAGCCTCAGTTCTGGGAAGAAGTGAGGATTTACGAAGATTGGGGACCCCTAATATAGACCCCAAATAAGAGGATTCCCTACTTAAAAGTATAATATGGACCCCACTAAGGTACCTCTAATTTCAGAAACCCCCCAGTGCTGTGGGTGCGAGGTTTGTGGGCTTGTTCGAACCTTGCACCGAGCAGGTCGAACCATGAAAAGCCTCACGAAGATGAGAGCAAGACGAGCAAGACGGGCAGACGCCGGCCGAGTGTGCTAGGCGCCTTTGCAGCGAAGTACTTTTGACTGCCAGTGTCTGTCTCTCTCTCTCTCTCTCTCTGTCTCTCTGTGCGCGCGCTTGCCTCCTCATTTCTGGTGCTTTGAGGGTGTTTGCTTTTCTGCCCAGTCCTTCGAAGCAGGTCAGATGGCCCAAGCGATGCGAGACCTCTTTTACATCCGTACCCAGGCCGCCAACATCTGTGCACCAGAAAAAGAAGAAGCAGCAACAAGAACATAGCGAGAGTTAGTTGCATGCAGGTCCAGCATCTCGAGACGCTGGTACAGGACGTTCCTCAGGGCACGTTTCGGACCAGTCATCTGCAAGTAAGAGTCCAACGAAGAAAATCACTACGTGTTGCTGCTCGTGCTGTGCATCATGAAGACTACCACTACACTACCATCTTCATATTCACTACCACATTATACTGCAGTTCTTCCACTGCCCTTTCACCGGCTGCAGTGCAGGATACGGCAGACGAGCTCGCTCCGGCCTGCGCCCGGAAACTCCAAGAGCTTACAAAGCTCCCCGAGGCCGATTGCCAAAGTACAACGCATGACATGTGATTCTGCCGGCCTAGGCCCCCTTAAAGTGTGTATATGGCCGCTTCAAGAGCATCCCAAGGGCTCCCTCCACTTTAAAAATACTCCAAGACGCCAGGCACTTCAGGAGGGGGATGCGTTTGGAACCGCGCGAAGCGAACATAAGCGCATACCCATCCACGAGGCAAAAAAAGCATGGAGAGGAAGGTATGCCATGGTACGTCCGCCGCCTCGCCCCCTGCGCTGCATTCGCGACGTGGAGGGACGCGAAAGTCTGAAAACGTGAACGGGACCGAGGCGAGAATACACGCGACGCCGAGGCGAGAGCATGCGGGCCAACACCAGAAATTGCAGGAGTAGCGTTCGGAGTCTAAATCAACATGTAATTATGCCGAAACAACCCTAAGTGGAGACGCATAATCGAGAGGAGAGAGAAGGGGAAACACATTGTTGCAATATATATATATATATACATATATATATATATATATGGGCCGAGCCTCGGCCCAGTGGGCCGGCCAGTTTTCGTCGTAGGGCCTTTGCCGTATCTGCGTGCTGCCTGAGTTCTGTCTGTCTCTTCAGGACTGCACTTGGGCATTGGTTCTTGCCTTCTTGCATCTCTGCTCTGTCTTCTTGCGCGAAGTGTTGCAGGCAGGCGGTGCAGCGCAAACGCGCCGAATCCAAGTGCTTCGTGAGGCCAAACGATCCGTATGCAATAGAATACCTGCTGGCAGCTTTGGATGTGAAAATTTCGGGTTGGACCTTCTTTCTTTGAGCACAGTGAAGCCCGCAACCTGCAGGGTGGTGCCCGAGAGGCCTTTTAGCACGTCAAGTGGAAAGCTCTGTTTTGAGCAGCAGGAGGGATGCTAAGAGTATAAGAGTGGTGGCAGGTAGCAGTATAGGAATAGCAGTAGGAGCAGCAGGAGCAGCAGGAGTAGCAGCACTGGAGTGATCGTTGTCGTAGTAGGTAGTGGGAGCGAGTCTCTATACCCCGAGCCTCAACACATGAATCGGACGCTACACGCCGCATGCCACCTGCTAGTTACACATACCCATCATCACAATAGTCTACGTTACTAGTAAGCTACACAGCCTACCAAAGCGCAAGGAAATCTGTCGCCTTCTCCTGTCGCCCTGGGCCCTTGAACTCACGCGCCCCTGGAAGCCCCCCAGACCTGTTTTGGACCCAAACCTTCAAATCTCCGAAGCCCTCCCCAGCTCTGAAAAGTTTGTGATGTTATGGGGCAAGAGTATGGTATTTTGAGTCGAATCCAGTGCATCACGCACTTGATTCTGACGATTCTGACAGCCTGAACCCTCCTGCACAGGACCAGGAGCGCCTTCGGAGCATGAGGGAGGCCAAGCACCGCGTCCACAAGGAAAATGTGGTTACTACACATTCTTCCGGAGAGGAGTACATCTCAACAGCATTGCTGTTGGGGTTTGGGGGGGGGGCGCACTGAAAGCTGGCCCAGTGGCAGGACGAGAAGACTTCGGGCGAGAAGGCGCAGGCTGTCTCGGTGTTTAGGGTTTAGGAAGCACAACATATCAGCGCCGCGTGGCATCACTCATGCACTTTCGCTAACTAGATGTCGCAGGGATTCATGTGGCATGGGCTCTTAATGGATCATTGTGGGCGGTGTTGTACACATTGGCATTCAAGTCTTCTGTCCTGACCCTGTGGTTGCAGTATCTGCAGTTAGAGTGGGAAATGGGCCGCTTCTTGCATCCTATAGGCCTTGTTTCATTTTGTGCGGAAATCGCAGTACCCAGAGCTCGCGTGGCTCATATTCCTTTGCATATGAGTGCCCTTTGGAAGCCCTTCCCATGCGGTCTGCGCCACTATCCTGCGCCCAATGCACCCTGTGACCGGCAGGATGTTCAGGCGATTCGGTCTGCTGCCGCGGAGACCTTGCTCAAGGTGGAGCTGGTCATGTTGGTTTGTCGTCCATGTTTCCCTAAACCCTAAACCCTCAACCCTAAACCCTAAACCCTAAACCGCCCGAGTATGCCATTAGGAGAGGCATGGAGAGACAGGGAGAGACCGCCGGTCGGGAGGCTGCGAGAGACGGCAGACTGGAAGAGGTGCCAACATGTACACGACTTTGTGCGCGTGTGCCGTTGGGTCGCTCTACTTACAAGGTGACTCGGGGTTGTGTTGGGTAACGGTTCGGCTGTAGGAATTCCAGAGCTCCACGGTTCTATGATCCAGCGGCGCCCTCAAAGCCGTTTAATAGATCTTTGGCCAAGCCGCAATTTGAAAGTGAGACCGCCAGGCACTCTCCAGCCCAAGCCTCAGCCCCGCAAGAGAACAAACTCAGGGTCGGGATCTGACGGGCGAAGCGACTTTGAGGGGCAAAGGCTGAGGCAGTTTGGTTTTGGATATGTACCCAGGTTCACAAGGTTCACGCTCACAGTTTCGGTTCGTCAAGAGCCACAACCCAAGAACATGCAGCCTCGACATCAGCCTGGGCATTCAGCTTCGACATCGTCCAACCTTCCCACTGCGCATCCTGGGCACGGATACCTCGGGCGGGTTCCGTGCGATATCGGTATCAAGCATCATATGGATGAGATGAACGACTTTGATAGTGTCCAACACCCATAGCGTCCATCTAAGCCGATTCCAGTGTTAAGGCACCAAGTCCGGCGACAAGGCGCGTGGGCGACGTTTGCATCTTCGGGCGACGTAAGCTGGGTTTGCCATTTGGTGTCATTCTTGTAACACTATAATGTAGAGAGAGCTTTTACAGAGAGAGAGAGAGAGAGAGAGAGCGAGAAGATCATAGCAGCTCATGTCACTCTTCGTAGGCAGAGTAAATGGGTCCACGCTCTCCTATGTAAATGGTGACCGCCAGGATGTGCAGGCGATTCGTTCTGCTGCCGCGGAGATCTTGCTCAAGGCGGCACTGGGCTTGTCAGTTCGTCTTTGGACTCTGAGGAGGTTCGAATCTTTCGGAGAGACATGGACAGACCGCTGGCCGGGAGGCTGCGAAAGACGGCAGACTGGAGGAGGCGCCCTCGCACTCGCACACGGAGTTGTACATGTGCGTGGTTCGGGTCTGCAAAGGTGCCTCGAGGTCCGGGTGTTGGGTTTTGTTGGGTTGCGATAGTTTCGGCTGGGAAGTATAGCCCAAGGCCCAACTTCCTCAAAGCCAAAACCTTTTCGATCGTGACTCCAGACTTTAGCCCTGAATTATGAGCCCTTGCATACCCCAAACTTATAGCTTAAGCTTGAAGTGGAAAACGCAAGGCGCTCTCCAGCCCACGCCTCAGCCCCGCAAGAGCGCATACTTTGGGGTCTTCGGCGCATTTGGCAGGTTTGAAGGTTCAGGGCTGAGGTAGTTGGGGTTTTGCATAGGCATGGAGGTTCACAGGCTCAGACCTTCGGCTTGTCGAGAGCCGATGATGCCACAACATTCGGCCTCAGCGTCGTCCAACCTTCTCGTCACGGACGCATCACGCGAGTCTTGCATATGAGAAAAGGTCCGAAATCCATTGAGTCTATTTAGCCGATTTCAGCTGCGTGCCAGCGCTCAGGCACCAAGTCTGGCGACAAGGCATGTATGCTTGCATTGCCGAGGGATGTATGCAGGGTTTGCCATGGAGTTTGTACAGTGCCCGGCGCTGGTGACAGTGCCAAAAGTCGGCTGACACGTAAGATGTGGTCTGTGATGGAATCAGACCCCTATACGCCTCGTGACGGCCAGGATGTGCAGGCGATTCGTTCTGCTGCAGCGGAGACCTTGCTCAAGGTGGCGCTGGGCTTGTCAGTTCGCCTTTGGACTCTAAGGAGGATCGAAGCATTAGGAGACCTAGAG